TATTTATTTATTTATTGATTTATATTCGTTTTATTAATTATAATTGCATTTGTTAATATTCATTTATAAATTAGTATAATAATTAGAACGGAGCAATTATTTCTAACTGTAGGATAAAGGGATTGATATCGTACAATCTCATAATAAGCCATATTCTAATATTTCAATTAGTTAAAAAAGAGTTTAGATTTTAAGATTTAAAGTAGTAAAAAACTACTTAGATCTGCCCATGAATATTGAAAGAATGACAAATCTTCTAATATATATTATCATATGGATACGAATTGAAAAATTAATGAATATATATTCTAAGTAATTAATTAGATATATCAAAGATAAATAGGCGATCAATATGAAATATAATCTATAGATATATTGGATATATTGATTTAAATATTCTAGTCCGATACTGATATATTTTCCCTATCTAAAGAGGAACTTATATATATAATCTTATATAATATTCTATGAGGTCTGTCCATCATAATTAATTATATCCGAATTGTTATTCATAGAGCTCTTATCTCGAATATTGCTTTTATAGTTAATGATTCCTATTTTTTAAATTATAGAAGATTTCTATCAACGAATTCATGATTTATCGTAGAATCTTCGAATCCAAATAATATTCAGCGTCTCAAATTTTATTTTTTATCTATTAATATGTTAGGCCGTACGCTTGCCAAAAAAAATCCATCAATATGGGAATATGGGGATACGAATTTGTGCGAGAATTTTTATTATAATTTCATTCGAGACACTTTCTTCTCGAAAGAAAAAAAGAGAAAATAATCATCATATTCAATATATATTTCAATCGATAACGAAAACAGAAATCTTTTTTAACATCTAAAGCAAGAGTCATAATTTAAAAGTATTTAGTGTTTTTCTAATATCTATTTTTTTCTCGAGCCGATCTAAAATTAAATAAAAAATTGCGGTATCTCATAGATAAAATCGAATAATTCTTAATTCAAAAGTTTAAAATCTCTAATCAAAAGCAAGCTATCTCTTATATAAGATATATCATGATATAAATTTCATATTTCAATTCCTTCATTATATTAATAAAAATATTACAAACAAGAAAAAATTCAGATAATTATAAATAGATAGATAAATAAATAATCTCTTTAAAAAAGAAATAAGCATCTAAAGATTTTCATAGATAGAACTAACAGAGATAGATAAATAAAGAAAAAAAATATATATATATCTCTCTCTCAATAGATAAAAAAAGATAAATCGACAAATATAACTAGATAAATATAGATAAATAAAAATAAATAAATATAAATAGAAAATTACCAAGAAACGAATATAGCCAGATAGATACAAACAAACAAACAAACAAAGAAACCCAGACAGACCGATACGGACAGACACAGACAGACAGACAAACAAACAAACAGACCGACAGACAGAGACAGACAGAAAGACAGATACAGACAGAAAGACAGACATACAAACAGACAGACACACAGACGGACAGACACACAGACGGACAGACACACAGACGGACAGACACACAGACAGACAGACAGACACACAGACAGACAAACACACAGACGGACAGACACACAGACAGACAGACACAAACAGACACACAGAGGTTCGGACGTATTTTGATGATCGTGCTTGCAACGATGAAACCGGAGCTGGAAAATTGCGACACGACAGATCATGTGCTTTGAGTCTAATGTCACAGGTTGTCTATGTTTTTTAATTTCAAAGCTGAAACAGCTTTTGCTTGCCAAAAGCAAACACGGAGACAGACGCGCAGACAGATAGGAGACACATATCGACACCTGCATTCAGAGAGATCGGCACCGGAGCTCGTGCTACCAAGATCCNNCCTGACGCGTTTCCTGTTGAAAGTGTATCGTGTGACCACGAGCATGTCTACCTAACATTTCTGAAATTTTATTGACGGAAGCTTGCCCCCCGAAAGCTACCAATACCGCGAGATTTCCTAAAGCTACTAAAATAATTTTTGTACCGAGAAAGAATAATGCTCCCGATACTAAATTTTCCGAAATTTTGCTACCGCGAGACAGGCACGGAAGAGGCTTTCAAAAAGGAAACGCGCCAAAGGACGAGGTTACAAGCTCGCCCAAAGAAGTGGAGGCGACACGACACCGCTTTATCAGAGAATAGTAATATTAAAAAAAAAATATATATATATATGTATATATATATATATAGATATGAAAAGTCTCATCAAATAATCATAATAATATTATTATAGAAGATCCTCAAACCGATTCATAAATATCTAAATAATTTCAGGCTAGCAAGCTTAATAGAAATTAATATTTGGGTGTTATCCGGAATTCTTTCTCCTAGAAACAGCCCCTTCCGCGCCGCTTTCGCGAAGCTTCCGCGCTCTTTCGCGCACGAGGAAAAACAACACCTCAACATAACTCGGGCACAGAAGCATCTCTGAAAGCTGTTCAGAGACTCTTATACCAAACAATACACAGCTCTGATAAAGGTTCTTGGCATCCGGCCTTTTTTAAGCTTGAGAGGCCTGGAAACACAAAAAAAGGTACCTGTTTTGAGCTTGAGAGGCTTGGAAGCACTAAAAAAGGTAGCAGCTGTTTTGAGAAACACCAAAAAAGGTACCTTTTTCGAGCTTGAGAGGCCTGGAAACACCAAAAAAGGTACCTTTTTTTGAGCTTGAGAGGCCTGGAAACACCAAAAAAGGTGCCTTTTTCCAACTTGAGAGGCCTGGAAACACAAAAAAAAGGTACCTTTTTTCGAGCTTGAGAGGCTTGGAAACACCAAAAACGGTGGTACCTTTTTCAAGCTTGAGAAGCCTAGAAACACCACAAAAGGTAGCTTTTTGAGCTTGAGAGGCCTGGAAACACCAAAAAAGGAACCTTTTTTGAGGCCGAGAGGCCTAAAAGGTACCTTTTTTGAGCTTGAGAGGCCTGGAAACCAAAAAGGTGCCTTTTTCCTGGAGTGGCCTGGAAATACCAAGAAAGCACTTTTTTGAGCTTGAGAAACTTGGAAACACAAAAAAAAAGAAACTTTTTCGAGCTTAAGAGGCCAAAAAACACCTTTTTTGAGCTTGAGAGGCTTGGAAACACCAAAAAAATACCTTTTTTTGAGCTTGCGAGACCTGGAAACACAAAAAAAAAGGGTTTGGGGTCTGGCGTGGTCGGGTTTAGGGTTTTGGGTTTTAGGGTCTGGCGTGGTCGGGTTTAGGGTTTCGGGGTTTAGGGTTTTAGGGCTTAGGGTTTTAGGGTTGAGAGGCCTGGACACACAAAAAAGGTGTCTTTTTTCGAGCTTGAGAGGCCTGGAAATTTCAAAAAAGATACCTTTTTCAAGCTTGAGGGCCTAGAAATATAAAAAAGGTACCTTTTTTAGGCTTGATAGGCCTAGAAACACCAAAAATTGGGGTTCAAGTGACCCAAAATTCTCAATTCTAGGTAGAGAAACGACACAGTTAATCGTGCGCCTGCCCATTAAGTTATGGCCGGCTAGAATACTTTCACTCAGGCCAGCCATCTCTCGATATGTAGGTGGGCGCACTCACCGGGCCTGTTTGAAAAAATAAAACTCTACCGGGGCGGGCTTCTTGTCCATACCGACCTAAAAAGCTTACCTTTTTTATAAGCTTAAGAAGCCTGGTAACACCACCTTTTTCGAACTTAAGAGGCCTAAAAATATCAAAAAAAGTACCTTTTTCGAGCTTAAGATATAATACAATTTTTAGTAATTCCCTTTCGTATATCTACCTCTCGTGCGCGAGAGTTTTACATATTTTTATATAATCGATTTCAAGTTTGTATAAACTTACAGACAACGGTTTTAGAACAGCCTCCGTTTATCTATAATAGAATTAAATTCTAAAACACCCAAATCAAAATATCAATTAGATAAAATTATATATCTTATCATTTATTGGGAAGTAAATCTAATTCAATTTCGATCCAAATAGATACCACCAATTCCTAATCATTTCATTTCTTCTTAGATAAATCTCTTTTTATTATCTTTCTGCATAGATAAAGTATTTAATAATAAGTATAGGATCGAATAAAATCCAAAATCCATTGATTAAATCTATAATATCGAACTTGGCAGAACAATTCGCTATTGTCGGTATATTCAATATTCAATGTGTCTAACAAATATCTAGGCATGTTTGTCTTCGTAGTATGGTTCAGGTATGACTAAGGATCTCTCAGTTGTAAAGAAAGGAACGATGCATTCAAAGGCCTTGCCAGGATTCGAAAAGCGGTCTGAGATCAAGGCTTGTCCAGTAATCCGAACCTTCTTTGTCTCAGCGGCTTCTTCGGCCGCTTGGAATAGAGCCTGTACCAGTGTAGAGGGCTCCAAAAGTCTCTGGCTGCAGCAAGGAAGCAGTCGCCACCTCGTACATCCACGGCGGGAAAGTACCTGCGATGGCATCAACATGGCCTTGGCTTCTCCTTTGAGGCTCGCATGAAGAGGGCACGAACGAACACTTTGCGGCCGATCACGCAGCTCCTGCCGCTGTGCTTTCGATGCTTTTTAAAGATTTAGACTCAGATACTCATACCCAACCAGGACTGGAAGAGGAATCTCCTCCTGTGCACTTGGCGGCCGCCGCTTGGACCGAGGTGTGGCCACTTGAACTGGCATTTCCTCACTCCAAGCATGTAATGTAACTAAATCTGATGCACTGGGAATGTCTTCATGGATTTGGCCTGGCTTTGAACAAGCTTGCGCTGCAAAGCTCGCTCAGGCTCTTGTGCCGATGCCTTCAGACAACGCAGACGGAGCGACTCCAAGCTATAACGACTTTCGAGCCTTGGCGGTCAACCAGCCAGATTCAGCAACCACCATCTGACGTAGAAGAGGCAATGGCTGTATAGCCGAGACCTCAGACAAATCAGCAACAGCAAGAAACAAGAGCACGGCCGTTTAGGAACGCCCGTCTGCATGCAAAGAGCCGGTGTTGCGTCAGATGTTGCTGTTGGACCCGTGCATCCCTGGCAGCATGCAGGAAGAACTGGCAGGATGCCATACAATGTCGCGGCGCGTGAGAGCCGCACAAAAGCCGATCGGAACACTCAGACAAACTGGAACCTGATGCTGCGTTGCAGCACGGATGTTTTCGTTGAGATATTGAGGTGAGACTCGAGTGAAACAGGGAGATTGGGAGCAGCGCGACAACACGTCACGACTTCAAGGCAGGTCTCAACTTCTCAACAGACTTCGAACTTCATGCGCGGACATGGAACGAATCGATGCAGGCTGCTCACATCTCAGAAGTCATCCAGCGAGATCTTTTGCACCTGCAAGCGCCGATGCAGCCCACTCCAACCAAGCCTTGAATCAGCAGCGGTTAACATCACATCGCAGACCTCATCCTCGGAGAAGATTTGGATGGTGTCCCTGGCCGCATGAGCGTCACCGATCCCCCCTTCTGCATGTTGATGCTGATACACAAGATATCACAAGCTGTGCTAAAAACGATTGCTTGACCACAGCAGCTCAGATCGCAACCAATCGGTCTGACTTCTTGGCAGTCCTGAACAGCACATACTTTGACACCGGCGCTCTGTTGGACGTTGTAAACTCCCCGAGCCTGAGTCAAAGTCTCCCGCTGCCACTAGGCTCCCGTTGCTCAGCAGGAACAGACCTGGCTGACGATTTGAAGCTACAAAGTGCTACAAAGACTGTCTCGCCTCAAAACATACAGGAACAAAATTGCAGAAAGCTTGCCGGATATTCTGTAGGCATCCCTCGCAAGGATACTCGTCACACCATCAAGCACCTCGGATGCTGGGCAGTTCCCTCTTTCTCGCACAGATTCACGATGTGCCTGAATCGGCGTGGTCTTGTCGACCGTAGTCCTGAACAGTTGGAACTCCAGCCAACGCGTAGGATTCCTCGCATCGCTGCCGCACTCCTATCCCCAAGCTGTCCATAGTGGTTCCGTCCTGGTCCACATTTGAGGATGGGGTATGAAATGTCATCTTAGTCTGCACATGTCTGCAAAAATAACAACCGGCGGGCCTACTGTCCACGCGCTGCCGTCTGTGCGCAGGAACACGCTGTGATGACCTCGATTTACAGGCAAACAGAAATGTGCTCAGCTCGACTTGACCGTCGGCAACGATCCGGACAAGTGCAGCACCGGCAGCTGCAATCGCAGAAACGTTGGGTAAGACCTGATCTTTCATTGGTAAACTCTCTCATGCCGTTTGCTGCTTGGCTCCTGCTCAGCAAAATGAGCCAAGCCCCTTGCCGAGACAGGCTTGACCTTGGAAACCTGCTGCGCATCTGCTGCGCAGTCGACATTGTTTCTACTTCCGCAGTTCTTCTAACCCTCATCCGTCCAAGCTCAATTTCGAGGCAACGGCATAGGAGCCATCTCCGAGCTGCCCGTATCGGTTGTGTCCCATTGCCTGGCTCACAGCTCTGGGCTTCGCATCGCAATGAATTCCTCTTACGCGCCCACCTGCGCAACGCCATCGTTTCGCAGCAGCAGGCTGTGGTAGCCACCACCACTGACGGCAATGATGTTCTTTGCGATCAGCCTGAAAGCAAGAGTCGCCTCTCTTCTTGCCAGAGTGCATCCTTGCAGAGAAAACTGGGACTCTTGCATGGGAAACCTTCTCGTGACCCTGCCGGGAAAGCTTACTAGTCGGAGCCTTCGACAAAGCCGAAGATATCGCGGACAGCCTGGTGCCCTCCCCGAGTTGTCCGAAATCGTTCCTGCCACAGGCGAAAACCACCTCGGAAAATACTCAAGAGTCGAGAGCCCTTCTCATGGATCCCAGGTCCGAGATTCGGGCGCCGTCGTTGCGGAGGAATAGGCTGTGCCTCAGAGACTCAGGCGATGGCGAGCTGCAGATGCACATCAGTATCAGACCGGCCATTCGCCCGCGGAAGCTTGCAGCGCATTGATGAACACCTCCCCGAAGAGTTTGCGCCCCTCCGACATCCTCCGACTCCGACCTCTCCCTCGCCTCCACGGGCGTCTCGCGGTGCGCAACGCTTCCGTCGCCGAGCTGGCCGAAATCGTTTCTCCCCCGGGCCCAGACCTCGGGGGCTCTGTGGCAGAATGTCAGACAATGTCAGAGGACTGGCGGCGGGATCCGGGCCGAATTGTCGAAGCGGAGCTCAAACGAGTGCCTGCACAGGGCAACCCCTCAGCTAAAGCAAACCGGCAGCTCTAGTGTGCCTGTAGTCACCAGCTCGGTAAACCTCCAAAGCTATGCTGCTTCAAGTACTCCAACCTACTGTATGTCAGGTAATTTTGCACTTGCCGGCTCCTGTGGCGGGATGTACTCGGAGCTGCTGTCGACTAAGACCTTACTACAGGCCAATTCCGGGTGGTGCGCTGGCAGCTTCAAGATGACTGCACTGCACCAGGGGCGGTGCCACCGCGAGCCCGAAAACGATCCTCGGCAGATCAGCTGCAACCGCCCCAGTTTTGCAGCGTTGCTGTCGCTGCGAGGCCGGAGGTCACTAGGAGCGGCACAGCCCCAGCATGGTGCGAGAGACTGCAGGGGCCTTGGATGCTGATGCTTCCACATCTTCCACGCCAGCACGGCGCAGGACCCTTCCGCGCTAATGCGCACTGGCGGTTGCACGTCTGCACTTCTGACCACGTGTGGGGGCCTTGGCCTCTTAGATCTTCGTCGCCCTTGCGTTTGGACTGCAGTTCGACTTGCCCAAAGGCTCTCGTCTTGATGAGCGATATCTCATCGTACATTCTGTTGGTCGCGGGAAAAGTGCGGATGCCGGATCCGTATCATTGAGGACAGCACGTGAAAGCGGCATCGCCAAATTCCCGAATCGAAAAGGCTCTGCATCGCATCATCGGCAGGCTTCGTGCAGTCGGTGGGTGCTGATGGCATAGCGTGCATCTGCTTTGTCAACAGGACCGCAGCAGTTTGTGTCGTACACACCAACACGGTTGAAAATGGCTCAAGACCTGACTTGAGCCCCGGCCAGGTGCAGTGGAAATGCTACTCTGACTCTGAGTCAACCGCAGCTCAATTCCTAGACCTAGGCATGTCTTGGATATCCTCCAAGCGCACCGAAGAAACCATGCCAGGCAGGCCACGAACAGACTGCTGGAAAGGCGAAGTGGGAATCGAAGCTTGTCCGCCAATACTTTCTGGGTTTGTTCCTCGGCATCCAACCCGACCCAGTGGAATGTGAGCCTGACCACTGCTGTTTGCTTCACAGCGGCGGTGGCAGACATCACGGTGTCCGCGCCGATCTTGTAAATACTTCCGTCTGCACCTGCCAGCTCGAAAGTGGCCACGGTAGTCGGCAGGCAACAGGCCACCCTTTCCAAGCCTGTTGCTCCGTCACTGACAAACTTTCGGGGTAGAGCTCTGCACGCAACGCACCTGATCATGCCCAGACGGAAACCAACTTGCATGAGGGCGGTTTTGGATTGGTCTCGCCTGTAGCAACATGCTGCCATCTCAGCTTCTGGCTGCTCTTGTGGCTCCATGCCGATTGACAACGATGCTTTGCGAAAGTCCGGCGAGATTTCTAGAAACCTCCAAGTAGCTGAGAAAGCAGTAACTTCTCGGAACTTCCCAACTTCCGCACAGCATTGCCATGCAAACCTGGTGAGAGCTTGTCGTAGTTGATCCAGATCACTAGACACCATGGTGGCCAACTGATCGGCCTCGGTACATGGAGGCTGCAGAGACAGAAAAATCGAGAGATGAAGGAAGGCCACGAACAAAAGACAATTGTGCTGCAGACCTGCTTGGCCATGAGAACCAACACCTGTCAAACCACAAAACATGATCTTGTTACGCTGAGGCTAGTGCACCACGCAGCACTTTCTTGCAGGTTGCCATCTTTAAAGCATGCAGCCGCTTCGCTGCACACATCATTCATGAGTGAACTCTGTCCAGTGGACAAAAGCGAGCTCTGTTCTGGTAGCCTCACTCCAGAATGGTCTGCAAGATTGCACGTCAGACTTCGGTAAACTGAGGCTGGTTCGGGGGCCGACTTCCAAATCCTATTCTCCGGAGCCATGCGCCTGTTCAACCAGCTCGGCGTCCGCTTTCGTGTCGTTTGCGGTGATTTCTGCCTGCGGAACTTCCTAATCCTAAACCTTCCGATTCAAAGGGCTACACTGAAGTAAAGAAGAGTTCGAGTTCGTCACACGAGCCTTCCGCTTGAGCGACTCGTCGTGGCGCACTAGCCAAGCTCGGAATTCCGAGCAGAGGGTTCCCACCTGCAGCCCGGTAAGTAGACTCGGAAGACGTCAGTCAGACAGCGTGCGCGCTGTTAATGCAGCCACAGTTGTTTTTGTACCGCTTATTCGGCGGCATTGACTGACTGCTCCAGTGTGAACTTACGCCCCGTCCTTTAGGTACGTTTTGCTGCAGCCCTGTTTTCAGGGCATGCGTGTGTGTGTGTGTGTGTGTGTACGCCTGGACATGGCGACCTTTGACTGAGACCACAATTTTACTGCAGCAGGGGACTGGGAGGGGTGGAGAGTCCTGTAGGTCGCTGGTCGCCGTCATCCGTGCTGTGCCAAGGTGTGTGTGGGCATCCCTGGCTGCACGCACTCATGCATGTACATTCCAGTGCAGGTGTACGACTCCATAGTACTAGCATACGTATGTATGTGTGTGTGTGTATGTATATATATACATATATATACGTGCATACGTATATACCTATGTATGTACGTACGTACGTACGTACGTACGTATGTATGTATGTATGTATGTATGTATGTATGTATCTATGTATGTTTGTATGATTGTATGTTTGTATGATTGTATGTATGTATGTATGTATGTATGTATGTATGTGTTTATTCTTATGGGTGCATATGTAACTATGTATATATGTATATACCTATATACGTATGTATGAGTAGATGCACATATATGCACATATATGTACATATGCATGTATGACGTGTCTGGTTCTATACATGTAAATGCACGTTTCGTGCGGTCCATCTGTATGCGTGTTCATCGCGCATGTGCTGTGTTATCTCTCTGTGCGCCTACTCAAGCAATCGGAGCTGTGCCTTCAACTCTGCTTGAGCATATGCTTGCATCCGAGCAACACTAGCAGCACAGCCGCCATCTTTTCAGCAAGCTTCATCCGAAAGTAGATGCCCTAAAACCCCGACACCCTGAGCGAACCCCTAAGCCCTTTCCGCTGCTGTCAGATTCGCCGACATTCTCAGATGAGCAAGTCGACTTGTACCTGGCAGAGACAGAGAGGCAGCTCAGTAATTCGTATATACAACTGTATACCTAAATATGTACCTATACATATCTGTACATATACATACATGTGTATATACATATATATATATATGTGTAAAGACGCACACACACACATATATACAGAGAGAGAGAGAGAGAGCTGTATCAGCGCATGTACATGAACATTAACATACATGTGTAGATGCATATTCATGTGTACATATACATACACACATATACATATATATATATATGTAAGAGAACCCTTTATGTATTATTTGACCCGTGGCCTGGGTGACGATCTTGGTCTGTATTCCTAATCCTTTTAAAACTTTGAAGATTTTGGAGCTCCCT